TTTTGGGCTAAGGTATTTAATTAGGGAGCTAGACGCATTTTTGGTGGTGTTTGGACCTATTTTTGGACTTAGAAAGGCTTAGGCCCAAGTGGAGGGCAAAGGTTGCATGGTCTTATCATGCACCTAGATGTAGCCTAACTAAACCCAAAGATTCCATCCTTGGCCACCAAGTTGCATCTAGGGTTAATTTGGGTTTCATTTGGTGTGCATTTGGCATTGTAAATTTCGGCCAATGCAACCCTTGATGCCTCCCACTCCTATAAATACCCTAGGCACCACACCTTGTAAATACTTTGGAAATTATAATATTGAGAGAGCCTTTTGTGCCTTAATATTTTCCTGAGTCACCCTTGGCTAATTCGGCCACCACCCTACCATCTCCACCTTGAGAGAAAAACCCTAGAAGTGGCCTTCATCATCATGAAGTGAGCTAACCCTAGAGTACCCTTCTCAAGCATTTCCTCAAACACCTTCTACCCAACCTCCAAACACTTCCATTTTTGCCCCATTCCTCCATTAAAACGTCCCTTGAGGAACTTTGATCCAAGGAGTTCAAGCATCCCTTGCCATTGTTCAACATTCCTTCTTCAATGGAAGCAAGGATGCCATCAGGTTTACTCTCACAGAGAGGATGCATATATTTCTACACTCACTAAGGTTCATGTTCCTAAGTTACACTTGGAACTCCTTAGTCTACAGAGATAGATACACTATGGTACATTTGACTCTATACCCTAGTAGTTGGGCCCTTATCCCATGGGCCTCCTCCATCAGTTCCTCCATTTGGATATACCCAGCAGCACGGGCGCGGAGCTCATCCATATCGCAAGGAGCTTAACGACATAGACTGTCGACGAATGGTCCGGGCTTGAGTGCCATGAGCATGGCGTGCAGGGCGACCTCAGGATTCAGATTCCTGATCTTTACTGAGGTGGCGGCAAATCATTCCATGAACGTCCGGAGTGGCTCGTCATCATTCTGTCTGAGGCTGGCCAGGGCGGCTGACGTGATATGATGAGGTCGGCTCGTTGCATACTACGCCGTGAGTTGCCTGACCAGAGTGCTGAAACTATCGATTGACTCAGCGGGGAGCTGGGTGTACCAATTGAGTGCAGCCCCCTTGAGCGAGGTTGGAAAAACCCTGCACAGTATAGCGTGCTCATTAGTATAGAGGTTTACCTGTGTGGTGTATAGATCGATGTGCTCGTCCAAATCTGTTGTGTCGTCGTAACGGTCGAGGTGGAGAGGCTTTCATCCAAAAGGGAGAGGTGTCTCCATGATGCCGTCCACAAAAGGATGACGGCGAAAGGTCGTCTGATTCCCCGTGCCGTGGGCGGGGGCGTTGTTGACGTCATGCACCGACCTATTTGTCGGGGCGTGAGACCGATGTGTGGCAGGCTTGGGAGTCGTTCCCTCGCCCGCCGTTGGCGGTTGAGAAACCGAGTGCCCCTCGTCCTCATTTAGGTTACTCTGTGGGGGGGGGGGGGGGTTGATCCGAGGGACGCCGAGGGAGTTGAGCGCGAATACGCTTGTTCTCGGTGCGTAGTGCTGCTAGGTCAGCTTCATTAGCGGTATGCATTGCTGCTAGGTCAGTTTCGTGCTTGGCACGCATACTTTGTAGATCGGCGGCGTGTTGTTGCCGCATCTGCTTGACCTGCTCTATCAGTCTTCTTAATGCTGCTTCACTATCCATGTTAGTTGTGTGATCTAGGTCGTCTGTTGCGCGTCTACTATGGCTTCTGGTGAAAACCATAAGCGTGGCCAATAAGAGCTGTCTTGATCGGCCCCATGGTGGGCGCCAAATGTTCTTACCGGGGATCTGAGGTAGAGTTGATCGCTGGGTAAGGTCGGTGAGCCTCCTTCGCTGGTACGCTTGATGTTCTAAGATGGGGGTGGTACCTGCAAAAGAGACTCCGATGCTAAAGTTAGGGTTTGTATGAGTATATGTCTCGTATAAGTAATGCACGTACCTTAGTGTGAATTAGGGTTGTGTCCGGCCTTGGGCTTGAGATCAGTTATGATCTGATTAGATAGCAGATCTCGTCTGGACCGAGATCTCCTAAGGTTAGTTATGATCTGGCTAGATAGCAGATCTTGTCTAGACCGAGATCTCCCAGCGCATGTCCGAGATCATTCTACGTTGTGATGCCGAGCTCGAGCTCGGCATGATGGTACAGATAGTACACAAAGTAAAATGCAACAGGAAAATTTGTGATGGTACTTTTCTTTGTGTTATAAACATAAATGGTTCATGTAATCATATTGCATCTATCTACTTCTATATATATTTGTTTAAACATACCTCTGGCAGTTCCTTGGTTCAAAGCATTTCCTAAAGAAAGTATTGTTTGCATAATTATCTTTAATTTGACATAATTCTTGATCTGCAAAAAGGAAACAAAATCTCAACATCCAAAATCTTATTCCTCGTTGAAAAAGAGAGAAAAAGGAACCATGTTGCAACAAGATATTTCAGTAAAAAAGTAAGATATCATGCTTCTTCTACAACATCATTCACAACAAGAAGTTCAACGAGTTACAAAAAGAATTTACTTGGCAACAAGAAGTTCGATATAAACCAGATACCAAGTGCAAATAAAATATATATAAAAAAAATACAATTCAGAACAGAGCCGAACTAGTTTCTCCTTAGTAAAGAGAGATGAAAGGAATCCACTAACATTCTGTTAGCTTAGAAACCCTAATCCAATTTATTTAAAATCTATGTATATGCTTATGTCCATAAAAACAAATGAGCTAGTGGGAAAATATTAGCCGCAGTCGATCTGGTACCTCGGCATTTTGTCTAGCGCCAATTGCAGATCAATGTTGAGTATCCCTCTCTACATCATCACTTTGTTGTAGAACCCATTGTTAAACAAAAATGACGACTTTTGGTCCTAAAACACTCTAGGGTCACTCAAAGCTTCTCTATCAAGCCCACAAATCTGCACCAGCGTCGCGGCCAAGACAGGGTCCATGGTGGGGTCTTCTCCCCCTCGAACATTCGTGAGCCTGTTCTGGAACACGCTGCAGTGAGCGAACCCTATGGTGTGCGCTCCTAAGAGGGTCACCATGTCCGCTAGGGTTAACCCTTTTGTGGCGAAGAATTGAAGGGCACCGGGTATGGAGAACGATGGTGAGGGAAGGTTGACGAGTGAAGGATCAGAGAGGAGATCGTCTCTTCTTCCCGTGGGACGCTGTACCGAGACCCTCCGGTGAGGAAACACTCTAGGGTCACTCAATGCTACCCTATCGAGCCCACAAATCTGCACCAGCGCCGCGACCAAGATAGGGTCATTAGGGGAAAGGGTTGGCGCGCAAATGCTTCCAATATTACATCAATCACCAAGTGAACTAATGTAGATCTCTTTACATTTTAGGGTTATTTACAAAAATGCCACCGCGTTTTGAATACTACATCGGTCCCACTCAAAAATGATGTAGAACACTAAATATTTACATCGGTTCCATGCAAAACCAATGTAAATATGCTTTATATTATACTCTTAATTACAAAAATACCCTCGTGTTAAGACTAATGCTTTGGTGTGCTATAGTTTTAGTCCTTTTAACTTCTTAGGCTTTAGTTATACACCTAGACTTCATCATAGGGAGGATCCTATCCTTAGTATTAGGGAGTCTAGTCCTTTTAGTTTAGAAAATCTTTTTAGCATTTTTAGTAGAACTCCTCTTAGGATGCACTTTCCATCTATATCATATACTATTGTCTCTTATGCTTATTTTTATGTTTTTGTTGGTCATGACGAAGAACCTCTTGATTTGAGGTCAAATCATTTTCAAGAGGGAGGGAATGATGGAATCACACTAAGGCCAAGAAGACCAAGAGGTGATATTTTGAAAGAGGCAAGAGGAATGGGTTAGTTTTGAAAACCCTAAGAGGAGTGGGCCTATTTTTGGGCCTTAGCTCCTACGTTTTTATTAGCATAAAATTTATTCCTATTTTGCCCTTATCTTTAAATTTCCCATTTTCACCCTTGTATTTTGGGTATCTTAGACATAGGATTTATTTTCTTTTGTATTTCCCATTTTACCCTTGTATTATGGGTATCTTAGTCATAGGATTTATTTTCTTTTGTATTTCCCATTTTACCCTTGTATTATGGGGTGCTTTAGATCATAGGTTTTTAATTTTGGGCTAAGGTATCTAATTAGGGAGCTATAGATGCATTTTTGGTGGTGTTTGGACCTATTTTTGGACTTAGAAAGGCTTAGGCCCAAGTGGAGGGCAAAGGTTGCATGGTCTTATCATGCACCTAGATGTAGCCTAACTAAACCCAAAGATTCCATCCTTGGCCACCAAGTTGCATCTAGGGTTAATTTGGGTTTCATTTGGTGTGCATTTGGCATTGTAAATTTCGGCCAATGCAACCCTTGATGCCTCCCACTCCTATAAATACCCTAGGCACCACACCTTGTAAATACTTTGGAAATTATAATATTGAGAGAGCCTTTTGTGCCTTAATATTTTCCTGAGTCACCCTTGGCTAATTCGGCCACCACCCTACCATCTCCACCTTGAGAGAAAAACCCTAGAAGTGGCCTTCATCATCATGAAGTGAGCTAACCCTAGAGTACCCTTCTCAAGCATTTCCTCAAACACCTTCTACCCAACCTCCAAACACTTCCATTTTTGCCCCATTCCTCCATTAAAACGTCCCTTGAGGAACTTTGATCCAAGGAGTTCAAGCATCCCTTGCCATTGTTCAACATTCCTTCTTCAATGGAAGCAAGGATGCCATCAGGTTTACTCTCACAGAGAGGATGCATATATTTCTACACTCACTAAGGTTCATGTTCCTAAGTTACACTTGGAACTCCTTAGTCTACAGAGATAGATACACTATGGTACATTTGACTCTATAAGCTCTGTCTCTGGTTTCTTTCCTTCATGGGCTAGATATCACTCTTTTTTTTTAATACCAAAGCCAACCTATCAAGGTTTGATGTAGTGACATATATATAGTTTTGTAAAATTTGCCCGTTGCAAGTTTCCGTTGAAGCGGATGTAGTCATTTATGACTAGTTTAATCTTTCATTTAATGCACAAGATCTTTGCATTAAATATTGCTTCCTGTTTGTAGACATTGCGTGAAGTCTTCTTTGTTTTTTGATGGAACTACTTGGAGAAGATTGATGAATCTTCAAGTGCTCCATTCCAAGACCTTTAAACTCTTGAGGTTGACCACAAATTTGGATGAGGAAGTCCTTTGAAGAAGCTTCAATGGAGAAGAAACACCAAGGAGGTTTGGTTACTCCATGAAAGAGTGATGAAGCTTGTTGAACAAGCTAAAAGGTTGGAAACCTTTGAGAGAAACTTAGAGAGAAAGTTTCTCCACGAAATTTAGGACTTTAAGAAGAGAGAATTTGAGTCAAATTCTGATTTCATATCTCAAAAAGTGAAGTACAATGAGCAATTTAGAAATATATAGGGAGAGGTAGCTTGTAGAGGAAGCTAACCTTAACCATGGTTCACTAGGAACCATGGTAAGGTGTAGCTAACCATCCATGGTTTCTAAAACTTGTAGGAGAAGCTAACCTTGACCATGGTTCACTTAAGAACCATGGTAAGGTAAGCCAAACCTACTAAGGTTTAGAAGCATGGAAGGAAAGATTCAAAGCTTGTAAGAGAAGCTAGAAATTTTGGCCAAGA